ATTCTGCAAGATGAGTGCCGCTCCAGCAAGCAGCATCCAGAACGAGCTAGCTCCGTTGATCATCGAGGGGCTCAAATCTTCTCCCAAGTTCTTCCCCTCCATCTTTTGTGGGATGACAAGGGGCTTGCGATATACGAGCGTATCATGCGTTCCAAAGATTACTATCTCACACGAACCGAAGCTGAGCTCATCCGGCTCAATGCCGACAGCATTGTCGAGACGATCCCTGACGGCAGCGTGATTCTCGAACTCGGTAGCGGGTATTTGGCACCATATCTTAGATCGCTGTCTCATGAACCGTGGACCTCACGCTGCATAGTTGTCTCTCCAAAACATTCATCATTCTTAATATCCTGGCCCGGAAGCGGAAACACGTCGTCTACTACGCCCTCGACGTCTGCGCATCGACACTTGCGGCAAGCCTCGCACAACTTCGCTCCGCCCTGAAGCACTCGCCGTACGTAACCTGCCGCTCGTTGTGCATGACGTACCGGGACGGGATTTCATGGCTCGCCAACGAACCTTCGCTGTCCGGGACGCCAGTCAGCGTCTTGTGGCTTGGTAGTAGTTTTGCCAACGAGCCCCAAGGCGACTTCCGTCAGCTTCTCCACGGCATCTCCGCGGCGCAGATGGCACAAACCTCTACCTCTACCTCTCGCCGCCGAATCTTCGGGTGGCAGTTGCTGGTCGCTGCGGACGGAACCAAGGATCCGGAGACAGTATCGCGAGCGTACGACACGCGGGATGGGCTGTCGAAGGAGTTCACGTTGAACGTGTTGGACAATGCCAACCGATCGCTGGGGGGTGACGTTTTTGACGTGAACCAGTGGTGCTTTGACGGGGAATGGGATGCCAGGAAGGGGCAATTTCAGACCTGTATCAGAGCACTGGAGAATCAAACTGCTAGGGTCGGGAAGGAGGAAGTTCTGATCAAGAAGGGAGAAAAGATCAAGGTGATTGCGAGTCGGAAGCTGGGGCAGAAAGATGTTCAGGGGTGGCTGGTGGGCACAGGCTTTACCATCAGCAGCTCCTGGACACACCCAGAGTTTGCCTATAGTGAGTTGCTGTCCCTGGAGTCGGGCGCAGGGTAAGGAACAGGTGGTGGCAAACAGGGCTAACTCCTTCTAGGCCTTTACAGATTCAGTTTACCGGAGGAAAAGGCTCGCGTGCAACAAGCAGGCTGGGAACGACTCTACCGAGGGCAACTCGGTCGACTGGTTCGATCCTACTTCCGGAGAGTGTTTGATCTTTAGACCGCCATTGAAAGACGATGGCTTCAGAAATTCCAAGGATTTGTTGGAAGACCAACAGCCACGGTTCCACGGTTATCTCACAGATGATGGAGCTTACAACAGTCTGGTTGGGATTCTCGGAGCAGCCCAGAAGTCATTAATTGAAGGTTGTCCTTGTTTCTGTCTGTCCATCTTGTGTAAAATAGCTCGTCGTCAGCTCTTGGCCTCCCCCCACGTAGGCTGTATTGCGCCCACGTTGGGCAGTCATACACGTTCTGCAACCGAATGTCCGAGTGCCAAGTGCCACAACTTCCAACAGGATTATGTCAAAACCAACCCTTTATTTTGGTGTCCTATTTTCGTGTCCACCCCCCTTTCTCAAAACCGCCGCTCCCCGATTCCGTCCTCGACCAAGTCAACAGCCGACATCGGTAGAGAGAACCCCGATTACAACGAATATCTTAGTACCCCAAGTCCGATATGTATCGCCATCACACACGACATGCTGCAGGCCAATCTCAAAAGATGCCGTGATGCCCCACCACGGGTGCGAAGGTAACCCTCTTCGGGCGATCTGCAGACGGTTCAGCTGCCCACTTACACTTTGTTGTGCCTTTACATGTCCCCTTTCAGACAGCTGCATTCTTAAGATCAATCACACCCCCCCTATCCATCCCGCGGTGAGGTGTGCCCGCCTGCGACCCCGCCGAAACAAGCCAGCTCCTCGTTCTTGATATTACATTTTTCTTTTTGACGTTTGCCGCCGCTCCCGCTGGCCCACGGTTCCATGAATTGGGACAGTAGCCCCTTTTGCTGCGCCTCGGGCCTCGACTCTACCGCTGGAAGCCGGTCTCTCACATCTTTGCTCAGGGCTCAGCTCGTTAGCAGCTGGTGTTACCATGAATATGGGCCAATTTGACCAGGCAGATCCCGCATACAAGTCGATACGCCATTGGCGAGAGGGTGTCGCCATCAAGGATGTCGATAGTTCGGATGCGGCCCACGCCAATGACGGCTTCAACCCGGCCACCTTCAAGCCCAAAGCATCATTTCACGATGCCTCCCTCCCTGGAGACGCCCCCGGCCATCCTCTGTACGGAGTCGCCCTGAGCCCCGAGAGCATCGAGGATATAGTAAGCACCGGCTGGCCAGGGTCGAAGATAGAATCCATCAAGCCGCTGGAGGCTGGGAAGTCGTTCAACAACAAGATCTACTTTTTAAAGATATGTCATACGGTATTGGGGGTACAAGATGTCGTGCTCAAAGTCAATGGGTCATTGTACGATGGCGACAAGGTGCAAAACGAGGTGGCCTGTTTGCGGCTCCTCGAGCTCTATTGTTCAGAGGTGCCGGCTCCTCGCGTGATGGCGTGGTCAGAGGCGGGGACTCAAGCAACATTCGTCTCCCCCAACCACGCGGAGACCAAAGCCTTGGGAGAAGGCGCTGCGGGAGACACCGCTGGATGGATTCTCACTTCCCAACTTCCAGGCAAACCCGTCAACACTGCCGACCTGGACGCCGCAGCAATCGCGAGCCTTGCCACACAACTCGCCGACATTGTCGCGAGTTGGCGCCAGCGCATCCCCTTCCAAAAGCACGGCGGAAGTATGCAAATCCGGAGCGCAGCCGTAGACAATGGCAACAACGAGGGAATAGCCCTCGACAGACCATGCGGCCCAGGCATTCCCGATCTTGTCATTCGAGGTATCCTCGTGGAGGAGATGAAGCTGACAGAACCCATAACGTGCATCCACGATTACTACCGACTCAAACTGGACAACAAACTGCAACTACTCGAGTCTGTGGACATCCTAGCACGCAACCGCCACCTCCTCGAACCCCTCAGAAAGCTCCGTGACGAGCGCCTTCCCAAGCTGAGCTTCTCGGACATATTTACGCAGACAGGGACGCCGGCGGACACTTTTCTGTTCACGCACTACGACCTGTTTCCCCGGAATATCTTGGTGTCGGGGGAGAGCCCGCCGCGGGTGACAGGGATCGTGGACTGGGAGTTTTCTGGCTTCTTTGCGCCCATGGATGAGTTTCTGGACGACTGGCTGGATGCCGGGGACTGGCCGGAGGCGTTTTACACCACCTTCCTCAGAGCTTTGGAAGAGAAGGGAGTGGCTACACCCGCTGGGGGCATACCAGGAGACGCCTGGCACGTGGCGTATTGGTTGGAGAGGACCATCGAGAGTGCTGCGCCATGGTGGCTGTTGCCGGGGAGTCTCAGTGCAAAGCAGAATGGGAAAGCTCTGGAAACGGCAGAATCTGTTGTAAAGGAGATGCTTGGAAATCTTGGAATTGTGTAAACATTGGCTGCCAACTAGAACCTGATTTGACGACCGACTTTAAGTTCCATCCCCCTATCCCACTCCCCCGAATCCGAATCACTCCTTACCAACTCTAACATCCCGTAGCACCTTATCAACGTGTTCCCTGACCCTAGCCTCCAAATCCTCACCAATAATCCCCAGCACCCCAAACACCTCCTCCCGCGTCTCCCCCTTCACATTCGCCAAATCCCTCCCAAGACTCCTCACCATCCGATCCTGCCAGCCCGGATACAGAGGATCATCCAAGTGGGTCCAAAACGTCCTCGCAAACTTCAGATCCACCTCCCTCTGCTCCTCCGCCGGCGTGGCCATCACCTCCTCCAACCACCGCTGATGCTCCGGCGTCGACCGGCTCTCCACGCCACCACCACCCCCAACAGCCGCCGCAAACCTTACCGGCTCCCTATCCGCCATCAAAAACCCCGGATGCGCCCCATAATTCCCCTCCCCCAACGGCGCCCCCGCCCCGTCCCTCAACAACGGATTAAACACCCCGCTCCGCGGTCGGTTGACCGCCAGCTGCTGGTAATTCACTCCCAACCTATACCGCTGCGCATCGGGATAAGCAAAAAACCGCGCCTGCAGCATGGGGTCCTCGGAGGGCTCGATGCCCGGGACGAGGTGGGAGGGCGAGAAGGCCGCCTGCTCGACCTCGGCGAAGTAGTTGGTCGGGTTGCGGTTGAGGGTGAGCTTGCCGAAGGCGCGGGGCTGCACCGTGCCCAGGTCGGCCGGGTAGGTGCCCGTGTCCCAGTGCTTGGTCATGTCGAGGATGTTGAAGCCGAAGCGGTGGGCTTCGCTGGGGTCGATGACTTGGATTTTGGCCGTGTACGTGGGGAAGTCACCGCGCTCGATGGCGTCGTGCAGATCGCGCGCGAGGTGGTCCGGGTCGTTGCCCGCCATGTGTGGGATGTCTTCGTCGGCGTGGGTTTGGTAGCCGAGGTCGCCTTCGAGGTACATGTGGATGTATTTGAAGCTGCCGTCGGGCATGACGAATTTGTGCGCGTGTCCCATGTACATGTTGAGGTGGCGGTACGTGGAGAAGGCGCCGTAGTCGCTGTGCAGCCACATGGCCATGTGCCAGGACTCTGGGTTTCGGACGACCCAATCCCAGAATCGTTTGGATCGCGCAGACCGGTGCGGCGGGTCCTTACTTCTGGGCGTGAACGAGACCCGGGAATCTTGATGGGGTCGCGGATGAAGAAGACTGGGACGTCGTTCCAGACCCAATCCCAGTTGCCCTCGGCCGTGTAGCATTTCAGGGAGAAGCCGCGAACATCACGGACGGCATCGGCGGCTCCCCGCTCGCCGGCCGTGGTCGAGAAGCGGGCAAGGCAAGGTGTCTTCTTACCAATGCCCGTCAGCATGTCAATATTGCAGATGTCTGAGATGTCGTGCGTAACTTAGAGAGATGGTCAAATCAACATTCGGGTGTAACAAAGCACAACATATTGCTTAGATTGGAAGCAAGGTTATACAGACCTCGAATTCTCCATAAGCTCCGGCTCCCTTGGCGTGAACAACGCGTTCCGGAATCCGTTCCCGGTTGAGATGCGACAGGACATCGACGAGTTGGAAATCCCGGAGGGGCAGCGCGTTAGAGGCACGGAGGGATGACTCGGGATTCCTCGCTGGACAGCCATTCGAAGTGGTGTACACATTTGTCTTCTGCGACTCGCCATTGCCGCTGGTAGCCCCGTTGCGGGATCCGGAATCCGCTGTCATGATTGTAGTGTTATTCCAACTTCTAAAGAATACCTACACCTGATAAGCGTGTGCAAGTGCCTCCATCCAAACCTAAGTGAGCTCACTGGAACCGGAGCACGAGACCATGTACCATAATCACGAGCAATAAAGACCCGATATATACCTATACAGACTACAGTTATAACAAAAGGCTGAGTGATTTAGTTTAAAAAAAGGCGGCGTATTGGTTGGTTACACTGCATGGAGCGCTAAGATGCAGACAAGGTGTGGGTGGAGCGTTTGGGGAACCCTAAGAGGCTGGGTAGGATTCAGCGAGATAGCCGCGGCCACCTTGTGGCCGCTGGGGTGCGTAGTTGGCCATGATCAAAGCATGCGGCCTTCGAGTTTCCGGAGAGGGGACCATGAGAAGAGCGGGGAAGAAACATTGGTCTCGTGAGCTTCCGATAACGGGAGGGGGTGAAGGGGGTAGGCGAGCCCTCTGTCACACTAGAAACCAACAGACCGGTGTGCATAGGTACTCAAATTAAATTCATGCGTGCTACGTACACTCCCTATGTGTATCGTAGGTGAAACGGGGCGGGCAGCAGAAAGGATTACCGCCGTTTTACCCCTGGACGTTCCTGTTATTATGGCAGCTACCGGGACTTTACCTACCTAGGGAGGGAGTCAAGCTCCACGGTCTAAAACTGACAACCATAAGTCAAGCCAGTCACCATTGCGTTAAGGGAAGCCATCGTGTTTCTTGTTACAACCCCATCCCTCGATATTGCTGCCTGTTCGCTTATTTTAAATCGTTTAAATCGAACACTCGCCTGCCCGATCGGAGGTGGAGGTTGTACCAGGAGCGACATTGGCTACCAGACGCAGGAGGACTGTGGAGCTCCCATGTCTCAGACGGAGGCATATCCAAGTGTTCAGAAGCACTCAGGGGAAAAGATCAAAAGAAAGCAAGTGGAATACAAAAGCTCCTCCAATAATGCTCAACTGTAAATTCATTTTATAACCACCGCGGATATCGTAGTTATAAGATTTTAGAAGAACTGAAAATCTATGGCAGGGACTTCATCTGACCTCGCTTCCCCCTGATAGGCTCAAAAAATAGGCTGGGGTCCGCGTATGTTCCCCCTACCCTGTCCCACAAGTCGGAAAACTGTCCAAAGTTGAACTGGATGCTCTTGTGATGCACCGTGTGAAACTGATCGCTGTTGTCGTCTGCGGAATAGGAACGATAATGAGCACATGAGCAGCGTTGGAGAAACAAAAGGACAGGCGACTTACGGAGCAGAAAGGTCCAGATGTTGCTGATGAAAAAGACCACGAGGTGTCCCACATCCGACATCGGGAAGAGGAAACTGTAGGCGTAGACGGGCAAGCTCATGATCCATCCCTCGATCGGCTCAAAGGCGTACGCGGCAAACGGCGTCGGGATGACATACCTGTCCAAGATGTCACGGGTCAGCAGTGGTTCTCAGAGTTTGCAGCATTGGTGTTTGGGTGTTCCTCACATGTGGTGCTGGTAGTGCGACAGTTTAAACAGCACAGGATGGTGAAAGGCCCTGTGTAGCCAGTACATGCACGTATCGCTAAACAGGGCAAAGAGGGGATATTGTGCCACCTCGTACCAAGTGCTACCCGTCCCGAATGGGTAGATCTTGGCCCACCCGCGCACCTGGGCCACGAAGATGGGCACCGTCAGTACGCTGAGGACGAACAAGGCAGTCATGGAGGCCGTGATCTCGGCGCGGATCCGGTTGGGCCGGAACTTGGGCTGCTTCTTCTGCTCCCGGTCAAAGTTGAGATAGTAGCAGACGGTCCCGAAGAGTAGGTAAAAGAAGGTGCTTGTGATCCAAGTTAAGAAAAAGATGCTGATGCTCTGGCGCCATATGCCATGCCGTTGCCAGAAGCGTGGGTCCGCTGCAAGGTTACAAAGCCATGCCTTGCTCTTGTCGACGATGACGCCGGAGGGCTGTGAAGATGGTGACCACCAGTCCGGATGTGTCCCGTTTGAGACTCCACAGCTGGCCTGGGCTAGCCGAAAGGCCGAGTCGTAAACATTGTCCAAGAGGACCGGGTTGAGATGCTTGAGTACTGTTTCCATTGTCGGCTCGTCAACGCCTGGGAGGTTGGTTGTTGCAATAGCTGGCTTGGGAGGAGGGAGGATCGAGGGGAGAGGTCCCATTAATGTTGGGAGGCCATGGGAAGTGCGTCATCTTGCGTGTCAACGAGGTACCGCGGGATACTTTGTGATATTTTTGCCCGTGGAGTTGATCGCCCATCCATCTAGACCAGATATGGATGTTATCAAGACGTGTCAGCGCCACTAGGGCTGAACATTTAGCTTGGGTTGTGTTTTGAGACATGCAGGACCCGCAACAAAAGATCTTGGGAGATCGCCACTGGGCTGGATCGGGCGGTCTGATTCCGACGATGGGGTTCGGAGTTATTGTCTGCAGTGTGCTGCCACGCATGTTGCATGTGCAAGTAGAAGACACAAGAGGCCGTGTCGGGTCGACCATTCTGTCAGTACCTTAACTAAACCTACCAACATTGTCATCGACAAGTCTGTGTACAGTTGCACTAATAGCTCGAAAATGTATGAACCAAGAGCCACCGGTTTGGTGAGCGTGATCATTAATGAGCTTGTGAGCTTCCAGCTCATAGCGACCTGCCCGTTGCTGGACTGGTTCGTCTGCATTGTATATGATGATTTTGATTCGTCATTGCTTTCGGCTTCCGAGGCCCTTCTTTCTGAGCCACTCACTTTTTTCACTTCTCGTTTGCCGACTGTCACGGCCACATCGATGGCAGCTTACTTGGGCTGGGTTGTCTTCCAGGCGGTGCTGTACGTCTTCGTTCCGGGACCTCTCCACCAAGCGCCACGAACTCCAGGAGGCAGACGCCTTTTTTACCGGTTGAATGGATTTCGGGCCTGGGTTTTGACACTGGCTCTTGCGGCCTATGCCTCCTATGCCGGCTTCCTTGATCCGACACTTATTGCGAAGTATTGGACCACACTTCTAGCAACGGCTCTGGTATATTCATCCGCCCTCATCGGCGTCTTCTACATCAAGGCCCGTGTTGCGCCCGACGACAAGGGTGACACACTATTGACCGGCAAGTTCTCCTTCCCTCTTCACTTCCTGCTGACATAAGACGTCCCGTATCGCTTGTTGTTACGGCTCTAACACCATGTCCAGGCCACTTTTGGTACGACCTCTTCAATGGCGGAGAGCTGCACCCACGAACCGGACAGCTGTTCGACTGGAAGCACTTCAACGCCAGTCGAACGGGTGGGATTCTAGCCTGGACCTTGATGTACGAAGCTGCATCTCCTCCGTCAACATGTGCATTTGAGCTCACAGGTGTACAGCGACCTTTCATTTGCTGCTTTGCAGCACCAGAGATTTGGCTCCGTGACCAATTCAATGGTTCTGGCTGCTGGATTCCGAGCCATTATTGTTGCAGAATACTTTATCTACGAAGACCTGTGAGTGGGACCATGTCGCAGCTGGTCAACAGTAACATATGCGTAACCAGATACTGACGCGGATGGCGCATAGATTCTTCGAGACACTCGATGGCGCCCATGAACGTTTTTCATTTTACAGCATTTATGGCTTCGCTGTGATGATGCCGCATCTGTGGACTTTGCAAACACAATATCTTGCTTCCCATCCCGTCGAGCTTTCAACAGCGGCGGTGGTCCTGCTCGTGCTTGGCTTTGCCCTCGGCTGGACCATTAATCACGTTGCCAACGACCAAAAGAACACGTCACGGCGGACGAACGGAAAATTCCTCATAGGCAGTCAAGAGGCAAAGACTATCGAAGCCAAGTATGAGACAGCAGACGGAAAAACACACCGCACTATCCTTCTCTGCTCAGGTAAGCACATGACCCCCCCTTGCCAGGATTATGGCTGCCCAAGAGACAGAACATGTACTAATACACGGGTGTTCTCAGGACTGTGGGGCATCGTTCGTCACCCGAATTATATTGGAAGCATCACCTACACGTGTGCAGCCTGTTTGACTTGTGGCAGTGGTCATATCCTCCCTTACATGGAAGCGATTCTGGTCGTCACCATGTGTGTTCACCGCTGTTTCCGCGATGAGGCACGATGCAAAGCCAAGTATGGGAAAGCATGGGCTGAGTATTGCGAACGTGTCAAGTGGCGTCTGATCCCGGGGATCTTTTAAGGGGGCCAGGAGGGGAAGGGGTGGCGGAGGATGGCAGCTGGACAAACGCCTGACAACCTGAAAGTTGTATTATTCGGTAGCCATGACTTGTTATGCTTCCTTAGTCAAATAGTACATAAGGATTTCGGAGGCAAGACAAATCTGTTCCGCAACTGTGCGAGGCTATGAGAGAACGTATGACCAAATCTCGACTCTAGGAAGGACACGAAAGCCACATTGAAGCCCAAGCAAATCATATGACTTTTTCATCTACCGCCGCATCTTCAGCAAGACCCAAGCAGCTAACCTGTAACCCAAAATAATGGCCACCACGATGCCAACATTTCGCCCCTGGTCTGCCGTACTGACCCCGTACTGATCCAACACCGTTTCCCCGGCAATGTGACATTGGTCTGGCAGTGACGCGTATCTACATTGACATCCCACGCCACAGCTGTATGTTTCCCCGTTGAACTGCGTGACCATCATACCTTGGAAGACGTAGCCCTGCGAGTTCCAGTAGTAAAAGGCGTACTTGTAGAACGCGTTCAGTTGCGCCGGCGGCACCAAGGTACCCGCAGTTGCGAAGGCGATGACGTTTAACAAGGCCGTGATCACTAGGGCGCCAACAAAGTTGGGAATGATGGCAACAGACAGGATGACTATTCCTTCAGCGGCCAGTAGGTTCAGGTACAGCCACAACACCCAAGTGAAAAAGGCACTGGCAGACTGGCGGCAACCCCCCAGCCAGTAGAACAAAACAGAAAAGGCGGCGGAAAAGAGAAACAGATAGGGGATCCCCACGACAAAATTGGACACCAAAAACGAACCAGGACCATACAGCCCATTCCGGCGGTCCAGACGAAACTGACGATAGTCCTCGATGAAGGCGGGGACGTACGTCACAGCCATGAACGACATGAAGCCACAACTCACCACCAAAGCGTTGACCAGCAGCTGGATCGAGTCCTGGTCGCGGTCCATCTGCAGCCAGACGGTGCCCGCCAGCAAACCCAACGCCGCGTACATGGCCAGCCGCAAGGTGTACGCCAAGCCATCACGGTACGACTTGATGAAGCTGCGGTGGGTGAGCACCGCCAGGCGGGCCAGAAAGGGGGGTTTGGATCCGGCGCCAAGGGGAGCGAGTCCCAGCGCGGGCTTGACCGACGCGGTAACCGCGGCAGCGGTCTGTTGGCGCAAGACAGAGCTGTCCCAGCGCGACGCGAGCTCGGCCACGCGCTCGCGCTCCGACGCCGCGGCGTCGTTTTGGGCTTGGGAGAAATCCGTGTTGACCAATTCGAGCAGGAAGTCGGCTGGGTTGGCCCGCTCCGGGACGGTCACGCCGATGCTGGCGTAGTAGTCGACCAGCTGGCTGATGGAGCTCGAAGTAGTGTGGCTTTCCCGGTCGAGAGGAGGAGGAGTTTGTCGAAGAGGTTGAAGGTGGAGGTTGATGGCTGGTGGATGGAGCACACGACGATCAGGCCGGTTCGCTTTGCAAGCTGCTTTAGGTAGCTGACGACGTGGCAGCTGGCCACCGAATCGAGGCCGCTCGTGGGCTCGTCAAGAAAGAGGATGCCGGGACCTGTGACGAGTTGCTTGGCCACGGTCAGGCGTCGCTTCTGGCCGTGTGATATGCCGGTCCCCACGCGCAATGTCGTCAAGCGCACGAGACCAAAGGATTCCAGCAGCGTGTCGATGCGCGCTTCGGCTTCCGCCTCTCCCCCACGAGGGACGCCCGCGAGACGCGAGGCGAAGTGGAGCGTCTCTCTCACGTTCAGTGCACCGATGAAGATGTCGTGGTCCTGGGCGAACGACGTGACGTGGCGGAAGACGTGGATCGGCAGCTCAGCACCGTTCACAAGGACCTGCCCCGTAACGTGGGCTGCCTTGATGGGGCGTTGTGCGAGCACGTTCAGGAACGTGGTCTTGCCGCACCCCGATGGGCCCATGACAGCGCAGCATTCACCTGCAGGTAGTTCATGCTTAGCAACGATCCTTGATCGGTAAGATTGGGGGATGGTAACCAACCAGCTTGCATGATTCCCTCGACATTGTCGACTAGCGTCTTGGGCTGGCCGGTCTTGCCCTCCTTGACAGTGACTGTCAACCTGCTCCATGATAGCGTTTCCACTGGGGCGTTGAGAAGCCGCTTCTCGGAGATAGGAAGCTGTTCGGAATCCATGGCAAACAGTGTCAGTTCTCTGACGAGAAAGTACCGTATAGTTCTTGCAGTTGCGAAATCGGAGGGGGGTTGACTTCTTCAAACGAAGGGACTCGAAAAAGCAACTTTGCGAGGACCATGACTAAAAGCCACGACGGCTCGTGAGGTCAACATTTTTTCCTTTCTAAGCTATTGGCGCTTGGCCCAACGCCCGCCAGCAAAGTGAATCATGATATCTTGGCTGATGGCTGATCATGCTAGATTGGGTAAGTTTAGCAATAAGCTTTCTGACCGCCTCAAGATCGCTAATCGACCACGTAAGATCCACGTCCCGTGAACAACAAACGCTGCTGGGGTGGAAGGATGCAAGACACAGCTGAATGATACACACACCTTCCTAATGTGGAAGTTAGACAAGCGACGACGAGGGACATTGGAGTACATCGCGATCTGATAATCGGAGACGCACATGCGGTAAACCGTTGGTGGTGAAAGCCGGTGTAAGGTAGCCAGATGGCATGAAACCGGATAAGTTCAGGAAATGACTGCGGACACCGATTGGCATGCACTCGCATTATCTGTTTTCCCATCCCTCCTGTCGTGATTCAAGAGACACGATACCGAATCGTGAAGTGTCACCGGGTCCATTGACTCCATTCTTCACACATCATTTGGCGGCTACCATGGCTACCACCATAGTCAACACCCGTTCCACCGAGACCCACATCCTCTTAACAAACGGCGAAGAAAATGCTCAAACCACCAAGGGGCTAAAGCAACTCGAGAGCTTGGCCCTAGCTCAAGCCGCTGGAGTCGAGTTGCAACGCCATGAGCGCATCGTCAGCCGTCTAGCTTCCGAGGTACAACATTTTTCCGAGCGTGGCGAAAGGTTTCGTATCAACCATGGCTCCAGCAATTCAACCCGCCCTGCCTCCATAGGGAACCTACTCGATATCAGCGGCTTGAACAATGTCCTCTTCATCTCCAAGGGTGACCCGGACCTCGGGCTCGAGAGCTGGTGTCTCGCCGAGCCCAACGTCCCGATGGACAAGTTGGTCGAGGCTACCATACCGCACGGGCTCGTCCCTCCCGTTGTTATGGAGTTTCCCGGAATCACGGTGGGCGGGGCGTTCTCCGGGACTTCGGGGGAAAGCAGCTCCTTCCGCCACGGCTTCTTCAGCGACAATGTCCACGAAGTGGAGATGATTCTGGGCGACGGCCAGGTGGTCAAGGCCTCCCATGAGAATCACCCTGATCTGTTCCGTGCCGCCGCCGGCGCCCTAGGCACGCTTGGTATCGTGACGGCCGTAAAAATGCGGCTGATACCAGCCAAGCGATTCGTCCACGTCCGCTACACCCGCCTGGACAGCTTCCCGGACGCCATCAGCGACCTCCACAAGATGAAGTCCGGCACGTCCGAATACCTCGACGCCATCCTGTACTCCAAACACCACGGCGTAGCCATCACCGGCAACCTCGTTGACGAGACGATGATCCCCCAGGGCACGCGCATCAAAACCTTCAGCCACGCGGCCGACGACTGGTTCTACCGGCACGTCCGCGACAAGACCAGCCCCCTCCCCCCCCGCAGCGAAGCCGACGAGTACGTGCCCCTGGCCGAGTTCCTGTTCCGCTACGACCGCGGCGGGTTCTGGGTCGGCGAGCTGGGCTACGACTACTTCAAGCGCGCGATTCCCTTCAACGGCTTCATGCGCTGGCTGCTGGACGACTTCTCGCACACGCGCACGCTGTACCACGCGCTGCACGCCACGGGCGTCACGCGCGAGCTGGTCGTGCAGGACGTCACGGTGCCCTGGGACAATGCCGCCGCGCTCATCGATCATATCAGCGACGATCTGGGCATCTGGCCGCTGTGGTTGTGCCCGCTGGCCGGGGCGCGGATGCCGACCTTCCACCCGATGACGGCAAAGACGGGGGTGGCGGGGTCGGGATGTCCGCCGATGACTTCGGATGAGATGCTGAGTATTGGGCTTTGGGGCTGGGGGCCTAAGAAGTTGGATCAGTTCGTGGCGAAGAACCGCGGGCTGGAGGCAAAGCTGGAAGAGCTCCGCGGCCGTAAGTGGCTGTATGCGAATATGTTCTACACGGAGGAGGAGTTCTGGAGGTTGTATGATCGGGAGTGGTACGAGGACTTGAGGGAAAAATATCACGCGACTAATTTGGTAAGCATATACGATAAAATCAGGAAAAACGGAGTTGGGACGAGGAGCTGGGCCCGGACAATAACGGAACTGTGGCCGGTCGGCGGGATATTGGGTATGTGGAAGGCGGTACGATCCGGGGATATCAGTTTGCATCGGAATGCGAGGTGGAAGTGGTCGGGGGGAGCTGAATGTACGATATGAAAAAATGTATGTCGACTGTAGGTCCTTAGCTAGGCGTACCACCTGTAACCTCGACTCCCATTGCGAGACTTGTAGGTACCTGTTCGTTGATATTTAGTCTTCTTTGACTGTGTTATTTCTCGAGCATATGAAGCACTGATAAGAGTAAGGGCAGGTAAAATGCCGACTAGCCGGTGGCTTAGGCGAGTGGTGGTTGATGTGAACGGAGTCAGCCAAGTTCAATTTCGGTGAAAGCCTTCTCATCTGTGACCCCTTCCCCGTCCGCCAGCCCAAAGATGTAGGTTGGGCCAACAAGTTGATGCCGAGGCGGAATGTTGGCACTCATCTGGCCCAGTTCGCCGCGGAGGATGAAGGGTACATGTCCCCCGGCGAGTACTGCAATTTCGTCGGCAACGGCGGTTTCTTCTGGTCCCAGCCCCGGCCGTCCAGTGTCATCAACCAATGCCCGCCGATTATAAATCTTCCATGCCCGACGGTAATCCCAGGACTCAGACATAATCCAGTCACTTTTAGCCGTATCACTGAGCAGCGCCGGTGGAGGGGACACCCTGCCGGTCAGGACATTGAATCCGTGGATGAATCTAGCGGGGCCCTCTGCGTCTGCTCGCTTCACAAGGCCCATATCCGTGATGGGAACGCGCCACGTCTCCTTATCAAGTTCGGCTCTAGGACAAAAGCAAGGGCTCTCGGTGACCATCTGATTGATCTCCAACAGCCAGCGCCGGCATTCATCAAGATAGTCAGATGAACCCGGGGCCGCTTTGAACACCCTTCCAACTCTTGCAACTCGGCCGACAACGATTCCCGGCAGTGATACCACCGGCTGTTTATAGACGACACCTTTAACCCGGCTCTTGGGAGCCCAGTCTTGCCAGCGGGCTCCGCCACTGGAATCGCCGCGCGCAGCCGCCTCGCTCTCGGCGCCGAAAGAAACACCACCAATTTGGGGCATCATGCGGGGGGCAGTCCAATCAGGTACCCACGAGGGGAGCGCGTCCTTGGTGTTTTGAGGCTGGCTTCGAGATGTCCTGTGGCAGAAGCATAGAATATCTGGACCGTGATCCTCAAGGAGCGCCTTTGCAACGGCAAAAAGCACCTTGTTGATTGTCATGGTTGGGGAATAGTCGACGGGGATTCTGATGCGGTCTTTTTCGCGCACCATCCCAAGTAGGCCATAGATCCGGTCTCGGGGGTCGGTGGCTTGAATGGCGCTCATCATCACTGGTGCCGAAAGAGGTCCAGATGATGGTATCCAGCAGCGGCATGTCCGGCAGCGTCTCGAGGCTTTGGTTTAGGGGGATCCGAGCCTTCGCTAAGCCCTTTCGTCCTCTTTCCAACGAGCGTTTGTATCTCGTTCCGATGCCAAACGCCAGATGGGGACACGTTTAGGGTAAATATCACTCAGCAGCGTGTACAGCCTGCGATATTGTGGCTCCGTGCTTCGGGTACAGCACCATCCATTCCAGCAGCCGCATACACTCGCTGACATCCTCCCACGCCACGGACGTCACGCCCGCTTCCGGGTCCTCGCCACACATCACAACCGCCTTCCGCGCGAGCACCACCTCCTGAATAATCCACACGCGCCGCCACCACACACGCCCCCTAAACAACCGCCAAACCGCCTCTAAATCAAACCCCACCCTTCCCCCTCCCCCTCCCATCCCCTGAACCCCCCCCTCGGTAATCGCAAACCCCCTCACGGTCCTCACAAACGCCTCCACCCTCCGCGCATCCCCCACGCCCCCCGGCTGTTCCCGCACCTGCTCCCGCCACAGCACGCCCAGCTCCCTCACCGCGTGTAGCGCGGCCCCGTCCGGCTCCGGGCCCAGCCACACCAGCACCTGCGCGGCGGCGCGGTAGATGCGGCTCATCAGCGGCACCTGGGTGTTCTTCTCGGCCGTGTCGCGCTGGTTGATGCACAGCGCGTCCACCCACAGGCGGCCGGCCCAGCGCTGGCGCGTGAGGCGGGTGATGGCGCTGTGGAGGTTGGCGGTGACGGGGATGCGGTGGGTGCTGATGGTGAGGTGGGGAGGGGGCGTGGTGGTGGTGGTGGAAGGGGTGAGGGGGGCGCCCCAAACGTAGGAGAGGGCGGTGAATGTTGGGGGCGTGGGGGAGAGGGCGGCGTGAGTGAGGGTGAGGGTGTAGGTGGGTGGGGAGGGGAAGGGGTTGGGAGGGTTGGTTGAGGGTGGGGGTGGTGGTGGTGGTTCTGGGGGATAGGAGAGGGTGAGGAGGCGGAATTTCGTGGGTTGAGGGGTCGAGCGGGAGGTAGGGGTATGTTTGGTCGTTGGGTGTAGCCATGTTGGAGCCTGTGGTGGTGTAGTCGGTCTAAGTCTCGGGGGGTAGATTATCGGTGACACCTAGCCAGGTATAGGTGGCGTAGACATGCCCGAGGCGATGATGATGTTTGTGGTGTTGAGGGATGGGATTGGGAATTGAAGTCGCTTGCCAAGATTTTGGGCTGACTGAGCCCCTCGTCGCGTCGTTCGTTGCATCGTTGTAGCTGCATTGGATACCGCCGATGTCGCTTGGATGAGCATCCATTTTTCTTCTTCGTATTGATGTTTATGACCTCAGGGGCCGCGTAACCCGCGCCAAGCACCATATTGCCGCGTGTTTTGGGTGGGTTGGTCACTAAAAAGGGTGTGCACGGAATTCCGGCCCAGTTGCCAAGCCACGAAACGGGTTCCTTGCTTGACAGCGGGTTAGCCACTCCGAAGCCGGGCCGAAACCTTCGATTGTCAAGTATCCCGTCATCGGGACCCTCGAGGGTAAGGTACCTTCCCGTTGGCAATCCAAAAACTCAACAATAAAAATATCACAAAAACACCCATCATCATCTTACAATAACAGGTGAAGCCCACCGCATCAAGGCCGTATCAAAATTATTATCAACATCGCATCGGCACCGAGGCGAGGTTGAACCGACGGTTGCATATTCTTTTGGGGATTTTCGAGGCTGTGCTGCGTGGCCCTGGGGGTCTGAGATGAAAGCCTGCACAGGCGTCGCTCGACCAGTTCCGCATCGGGACAAGGCATCTTCTGTGCTGCATACTCACAGCCTCATCAGTGCGAACAAGTGGTCTCACATTTCGAAT